AGAAAATCACTTTCATTACACAAATTTCACAAAACTGGTATATGAGAAATGGTAAATGTTCGTTATCATATTCATTCATTTCTGACAGAACAAACGACGCGTCACTGAACAAGTTAGAGTGTGCAAGAAAATGAACACGACCTTTTTTTTCTTCTATGTAAGTGTTGCATGACCAACATTATTAAAGAGATATTGAATCAAAGGAGAGTAGAGTGAAAGATTTCTTTCATAATGCGTAAAGCATACAGACATGTATGCATGTTCGTGTGTGTGTTTGCTAGGCGCGTTTGTATTTCTGTCTATATATTTTCAGATATCTACTGGTATGCCCCCTCCAAAAATAGTTTAGATTATTGCATTTCAGATATATTTTCATTTCAATATACAATGCACTCATAATCACATACATGTACATATATACGTTTGTGCGTGTAAGGAGAGACAGACAGTTACATAAACAGACAGAGAGAGAGAAAGAGAGAAGCGGAGTGGGAGATCTGTGTTTCACATATGCAGTTAAACAGTATTCCATCAGAATTTGAAACTGAAGCCCCGATATGTTTTATCCTTCGCAGATTTCCTTGTTGATGGCCATGGTTGTGGCCCTGTCCTGCTTCATGGGATCTGCTCTTGCCATGCCCGAGCCCTATGCCCTCCCTGACGCTGACTTTGTGACGGAGGCCATCTCCGACTGACGCAACCATGCCCACTTCGAAAAGCTTTTCCCCTGGCACAAAGCAATCACAGAGTGCAGTGCAAAAGCCCTCATTGCCCCCAATAAGGGTTTCTCTTTATTTCGCTCTCTGCTTATGTCTGTAAAGGTACCGATACCATTCTGGAAACTAGTGGAAACTGAATTTTCTACTTTCGTTCGTGATGACTTCTTAACGATACTAGCTTAATACTCAAAATGTATCTTACGAAAAAAAAATGGAATTGCTGCTTCTTTCCAAATTGAAAGGTGTGTAAGAACAGTCTTTGTTTCATTTCTTATATGCAATTACTGGGCTATAACAATCTTACTATCAGCATTATGTATATCTAGTAAAGAATTCGGGAGTCGGCCCTGAGGAAAAATCCGGAGCTGGAGTCCTTAAGTCAGTTCATTGGCGCTTACCACCTTGTTCTTGTAACTCATACGACGCTGTAATGAACCCTTCTTTTCAATATAATTTTAACAAATAAACGAATATTACCTTGTTTCACCTTTCCTCCCAAGTAATCATTAAGGCCTTTCTTTTAAAGCTATTATTTACCTCAATTCTATCTGTTCACTTTTTAGTGTTGACATTATTTTATCGATGTGAATTTTATGTTCCCCCCTTTTTTACGTATAATATTCATATTTCAGTGTTTAACAATCAATTAGAATCAATTGATTAGAAAACCACACGAGCATTGTTAAGAGCCCGTCAGATATAATTTTTCTTTTTTCTTTTTCTTTTTTTTTTACTACCAACCTCCGCTGACCTGATGTGCAGGTGTCACGCGATAACACGAAACGACTTGTGCTCCTCTACACTAGATTCGAGGACGGAAGACTTCAACGGGACTTTGATTTAATATATTAATCAGGGAGACAAAGGCACCCCTTTTAATTACTCTTTGTAGTGTGGCCATTTTTGTGTATTCGGCTCGCTGTGGAACACCTGTGGAACACATTGTAGGGATAAGTGTTTTGTTTTGTTTTAGAAATATCACTATTGTAAGTGTAATACTGTTATATATACAAAGTCGTGATATTAGTAAATGTTATAAATGTTCTGTCAGTCCTTTTATTTTACGTTTTACATCATTAAGGAGTTATGGCCAGGCTTCTTCTTTTATATATCCGTGTTTTATTTTATGTTCGTACACTGAGTGAACATGCCATCACAGATAATGAGAATTGTAAAGTAAAACGGGGCAGCTTAGTGTTTTAGTGTTAAATGTAGATTTTTATTTTTCTTAAGTGTTCCATTTAATCTTATTTTAGTTCATTCACTATATGTTTTTAGTTCTGAACTTTTATTTTGTTTTTACATGCCCTATTTATCCCTGGCCCACCACGCCTTCAGAGGGTTCTTACCACTCCGACACGAAAAGCCCCGTTAACAAGCATTACGATAGTTGACACCCTTAGGGTCTCTCCGTCGCTTACCATTGCATCCACTACAACGCCCCTGATGCCAAACTGTAATGGTCTTTGCCGTTCCTTTGGATCCATCAGCTGCGTCGAGAGAGGGAGCCTGCTGCATGGACAACAGCTTTCTCCCAGTGAGTCAATAATCAATAGTCAATAGTCCCAAAGTCGACATCGGTTGATGGTGGCCAGGTCATATATATGTGTGTATGTGTGTGTGTGTGTGTGTGTGTTTGTATGTGTGTGTGTGTGTGTGTGTGTGTGTGTATGTGTGTGCGTTTGTATATGTGTGTGTGTGTGTGCATTTATTTAGAATTCAAAATTACACAATTACATTGTGTAATTTTCTGAGCTGATGACTTGGCCGTCAATGCTATCAGGATGTGGTGGATTTAGGATTTCTATGATTTAATTTAATTCCAAAATGCTTGCACCAAGAAGAGATCAGCTTTAATTCAACGTTCAATTGAGTGGCAGCACCTGGTCCACTTCGAGGGTCATCGACGCGGGAAAATAAGAATGTCATTAGCATATGCCATGAGACTGGAAGAAGTTCCGCGCCACATATCAGTGTTATAAAAGACAAAAAGTGACCCCAGAACACTGCCTTTGGGAACTCCTGATACATTTAAAACCACTGAAATACCCATCTATAGTAACATTGTTGCCTGTCTAATAAAAAGTCAGATAAAATATAAATTTGGCCATTAACGCTTACATACCCGAGTTTAAAAAGGAGAGACTTATGGTTGACCACATCAAAGGCAGAAGAAACAGGAAACAATCAGGATGGCTAAAGTGCAAAGTTCCCTTAGCCACTATATCCCACTACCTTGCCAGTCATAGCGTAGGATTTACAAGGACTGACAGAAAGGAAGCTACAGGGAGAAGGAGAGTAGAAATCATTATGGAATGCAAGGAATCTAGCTATGACGCAATAATTAAAAACACACTCTTAGTTTAAAGGATTAAAGACGAAAGAAGCAGAAGAGCAGGCATGGATGACCTATGGGAGGTTGAGCACACTTATTTGCTCACTGTTTAGGCTATATATATATATATATATATATATATATATATATATATATGTGTGTGTAGGCATGATATTTATAAATATATGTATTTCTATTTAGGCATAATATTTATATACAGATATATGCACATATACGCATGTTTTTGTACACACTCACGCACACACACACATATAGTGTGTATGTGTGCGTGCGTATGTATATATATATATATATATATATATATATATATATACATATATATATATACATATATATGTATGTATGTATGTGTAGGCGACGGCCTTTAGCTGTTTTTCCTCCTGACTCTAAGAGATTACTCCTTGCCTTGAGAGGAAAGAGTCAGCCTAAGGGGAGCTCCTTACAGCGTTTAGGAGGCAGTTTGTCAAAACCTTTGACAAGTAAAGGTTATCTTAATTCACTTTCTGTTACAAAAGCTACAATATTAGCAATATCTATTCATTAATTATTTATTATGCACACGCACACACACACACATACATATATATATATATATATATATATATATATATATATAATATATATATATATATGTGTGTGTGTGTGTGTGTGTGTGTGTGTGTGTGTGTGTGTATAAATGTGTATATCTATCTATATACACATATATGTGTATTGTATATATTCAATGTGTGTGCGTTATATAAATGTAAATATATATGTATATATATGTATATATATATGGATGTATAATTTGTGTATATATATATATATACATATGTGTATGTATATACATACATGTGTGTGTATATACATATATATATATATATATATATATATATATATATTTATATGGATGTATAATTTATATATGTATATATACATATGAGTATGTATATTAATATGTGTGCGTATATATATATATATATATATATATATATATATATATATATATATGTATGTATGTATATATTCATACATAAATCCACAGTGAAGATAATACATAAAGAAGTAGATATACTTGGAATACACCATTCTATATTATATTTGTCTTACACTATGGACAATCTTTACTATTGACAGAAAACAGTAAATAAGAGAAATGAAGAGTTATTTAAGAAAGCATTCTTCTATATCCACTTTCTATCAAAGTAAAGGAAATCAGCACAGCATGTTTTGATGTCGTTGCGGCTTACAAATGCTGTTCCTGTTGCGTTTGAGAGACCTGGCACTGGATTTATGTTAATTTTAAATGACCTATTATTGATGTTCTCCCTTACCCCACATTAACTAAAAGAAGGGCGTTTTTTTTGACACAACTATTTGCTGTGGAGAATATATTGCAGTAGTTAGTTCTTTCTCTTCGTCATTAAGTTGGTGAGTATCATATGGGCAGGTCTTGTGTGTGTATGTATATATGTGTGTGTGTGTGTGTGTGTGTGTGTGTGTGTGTGTTTGCGCGCTTATATGTACAGTAGAATTAGCATATAATAGATTCATTTGGAAACTATATTACTATATATAAGGACATCCTTGTATGTGTATCTGTAATATCAAACACAATAACATGTACACAGATAAGAAAAGGAAGCAGACTCAACGAGAAATGAAACACAGTCGTAACGTTTCGAACTAACCAAGACCTCCTCGTCAGACGAACAAACAAACCGGAAATAGATAAAAACTGATATGAAGCTCAACCCGAACACAGCGGAGCAAAGTCAAGGTCAATAAAACCGGTTTGCGTTGTGTGACAGAGCGAAAATGTTCCTACTTTTGGGAGGGGGTTGTTTTGTTTTTGTTTTACCTTCACTTTCTTCTTCTTTATCATCTTTCCCTTCTTTTGAGTGAGTGAGTGAGTGAGTGAGTGAGTGAGTGAGTGAGTGAGTGAGTGAGTGAGTGAGTGAGTGAGTGAGTGAGTGAGTGAGTGAGTGAGTGAGTGAGTGAGTGAGTGAGTGAGTGAGTGAGTGAGTGAGTGAGTGAGTGAGTGAGTGAGTGAGTGAGTGAGTGAGTGAGTGAGTGAGTGAGTGAGTGAGTGAGTGAGTGAGTGAGTGAGTGAGTGAGTGAGTGAGTGAGTGAGTGAGTGAGTGAGTGAGTGAGTGAGTGAGTGAGTGAGTGAGTGAGTGAGTGAGTGAGTGAGTGAGTGAGTGAGTGAGTGAGTGAGTGAGTGAGTGAGTGAGTGAGTGAGTGAGTGAGTGAGTGAGTGAGTGAGTGAGTGAGTGAGTGAGTGAGTGAGTGAGTGAGTGAGTGAGTGAGTGAGTGAGTGAGTGAGTGAGTGAGTGAGTGAGTGAGTGAGTGAGTGAGTGAGTGAGTGAGTGAGTGAGTGAGTGAGTGAGTGAGTGAGTGAGTGAGTGAGTGAGTGAGTGAGTGAGTGAGTGAGTGAGTGAGTGAGTGAGTGAGTGAGTGAGTGAGTGAGTGAGTGAGTGAGTGAGTGAGTGAGTGAGTGAGTGAGTGAGTGAGTGAGTGAGTGAGTGAGTGAGTGAGTGAGTGAGTGAGTGAGTGAGTGAGTGAGTGAGTGAGTGAGTGAGTGAGTGAGTGAGTGAGTGAGTGAGTGAGTGAGTGAGTGAGTGAGTGAGTGAGTGAGTGAGTGAGTGAGTGAGTGAGTGAGTGAGTGAGTGAGTGAGTGAGTGAGTGAGTGAGTGAGTGAGTGAGTGAGTGAGTGAGTGAGTGAGTGAGTGAGTGAGTGAGTGAGTGAGTGAGTGAGTGAGTGAGTGAGTGAGTGAGTGAGTGAGTGAGTGAGTGAGTGAGTGAGTGAGTGAGTGAGTGAGTGAGTGAGTGAGTGAGTGAGTGAGTGAGTGAGTGAGTGAGTGAGTGAGTGAGTGAGTGAGTGAGTGAGTGAGTGAGTGAGTGAGTGAGTGAGTGAGTGAGTGAGTGAGTGAGTGAGTGAGTGAGTGAGTGAGTGAGTGAGTGAGTGAGTGAGTGAGTGAGTGAGTGAGTGAGTGAGTGAGTGAGTGAGTGAGTGAGTGAGTGAGTGAGTGAGTGAGTGAGTGAGTGAGTGAGTGAGTGAGTGAGTGAGTGAGTGAGTGAGTGAGTGAGTGAGTGAGTGAGTGAGTGAGTGAGTGAGTGAGTGAGTGAGTGAGTGAGTGAGTGAGTGAGTGAGTGAGTGAGTGAGTGAGTGAGTGAGTGAGTGAGTGAGTGAGTGAGTGAGTGAGTGAGTGAGTGAGTGAGTGAGTGAGTGAGTGAGTGAGTGAGTGAGTGAGTGAGTGAGTGAGTGAGTGAGTGAGTGAGTGAGTGAGTGAGTGAGTGAGTGAGTGAGTGAGTGAGTGAGTGAGTGAGTGAGTGAGTGAGTGAGTGAGTGAGTGAGTGAGTGAGTGAGTGAGTGAGTGAGTGAGTGAGTGAGTGAGTGAGTGAGTGAGTGAGTGAGTGAGTGAGTGAGTGAGTGAGTGAGTGAGTGAGTGAGTGAGTGAGTGAGTGAGTGAGTGAGTGAGTGAGTGAGTGAGTGAGTGAGTGAGTGAGTGAGTGAGTGAGTGAGTGATTGAGTGAGTGAGTGAGTGAGTGAGTGAGTGAGTGAGTGAGTGAGTGAGTGAGTGAGTGAGTGAGTGAGTGAGTGAGTGAGTGAGTGAGTGAGTGAGTGAGTGATTGAGTGAGTGAGTAAATGAGTGAGTGAGTGAGTGAGTGAGTGGGTGAGAGAGAGAGGGAGAGGGAAGAGAGAGAGAGTCAGAGTGAGAGATACAGAGAGAGATAAACAGACAGACAGAGAGCAAGAGAGAGAGAGAGAGAGAGAACTGCCCCATGAATAAAAGTGACCTCCGATCTGCACCAGAGATCAAGTTCAAGGTCAAACCGGATCATGTGAGAAAATTTCATTTATAAGGTCCCATTTCTTTCTAATAATTCACCGTTTTTCCTTATCTTTCTTTGTCGTATCCGTCATCTCTAGCACTGGCTTAAGTGTTATCGTCCTTAATTTTATCATTATTGTTCTTAATATGAGTTACATTGATTTTTTTTCTTATCGTAACTTAATCATTATCATTGTCGTTAGTATTATTATTAGCGATCTTTTCTTACTGTTATCATCATTAATGTCGTTAATACTAGTACTCTCATTACCATTATCGCCGTCAATATCGTTATTCATTATTACGTAACTATCTATTTATTTGCTGTGACGCTCTCCCTCTCTTTCTCTTCTTTCTTCTTATTCTCATGCTTTCATGTTGATCATCTTGTTCTTAGTTCATATTTCTTGCTTTATATCGTTCCATTAACATATCTTCGGAAGTAGGGATAAAAAAGAGAAAAAAGACGAGGAAGTAGAAGAAAATGGAGGAGGAAGAGGAGGAAGTAGAAGAAAATGGAGGAGGAAGAGGAGGAAGTAGAAGAAAATGGAGGAGGAAGAGGAGGAAGTAGAAGAAAATGGAGGAGGAAGAGGAGGAAGTAGAAGAAAATGGAGGAGGAAGAGGAGGAAGTAGAAGAAAATGGAGGAGGAAGAGGAGGAAGTAGAAGAAAATGGAGGAGGAAGAGGAGGAAGTAGAAGAAAATGGAGGAGGAAGAGGAGGAAGTAGAAGAAAATGGAGGAGGAAGAGGAGGAAGTAGAAGAAAATGGAGGAGGAAGAGGAGGAAGTAGAAGAAAATGGAGGAGGAAGAGGAGGAAGTAGAAGAAAATGGAGGAGGAAGAGGAGGAAGTAGAAGAAAATGGAGGAGGAAGAGGAGGAAGTAGAAGAAAATGGAGGAGGAAGAGGAGGAAGTAGAAGAAAATGGAGGAGGAAGAGGAGGAAGTAGAAGAAAATGGAGGAGGAAGAGGAGGAAGTAGAAGAAAATGGAGGAGGAAGAGGAGGAAGTAGAAGAAAATGGAGGAGGAAGAGGAGGAAGTAGAAGAAAATGGAGGAGGAAGAGGAGGAAGTAGAAGAAAATGGAGGAGGAAGAGGAGGAAGTAGAAGAAAATGGAGGAGGAAGAGGAGGAAGTAGAAGAAAATGGAGGAGGAAGAGGAGGAAGTAGAAGAAAATGGAGGAGGAAGAGGAGGAAGTAGAAGAAAATGGAGGAGGAAGAGGAGGAAGTAGAAGAAAATGGAGGAGGAAGAGGAGGAAGTAGAAGAAAATGGAGGAGGAAGAGGAGGAAGTAGAAGAAAATGGAGGAGGAAGAGGAGGAAGTAGAAGAAAATGGAGGAGGAAGAGGAGGAAGTAGAAGAAAATGGAGGAGGAAGAGGAGGAAGTAGAAGAAAATGGAGGAGGAAGAGGAGGAAGTAGAAGAAAATGGAGGAGGAAGAGGAGGAAGTAGAAGAAAATGGAGGAGGAAGAGGAGGAAGTAGAAGAAAATGGAGGAGGAAGAGGAGGAAGTAGAAGAAAATGGAGGAGGAAGAGGAGGAAGTAGAAGAAAATGGAGGAGGAAGAGGAGGAAGTAGAAGAAAATGGAGGAGGAAGAGGAGGAAGTAGAAGAAAATGGAGGAGGAAGAGGAGGAAGTAGAAGAAAATGGAGGAGGAAGAGGAGGAAGTAGAAGAAAATGGAGGAGGAAGAGGAGGAAGTAGAAGAAAATGGAGGAGGAAGAGGAGGAAGTAGAAGAAAATGGAGGAGGAAGAGGAGGAAGTAGAAGAAAATGGAGGAGGAAGAGGAGGAAGTAGAAGAAAATGGAGGAGGAAGAGGAGGAAGTAGAAGAAAATGGAGGAGGAAGAGGAGGAAGAAAAGAGGGGAAGGAGGCGGAAAAGGAGGTGGAGAAGGTGGAGGAGGAGGATCGGATGAAGAAGAGAGGGAGAAGAGGAGTAGGAGGAAGGAAAGGAGTATTCTGAAATAGTTGGGGAGAAAAAAAAGCTAATTTATGTAATAGTTACAACTACAACTTTATTTAGGTAATGATTTCTGCGACAGCGCGGACGCATTGAGAGACACGCCATAATACGCAGGATTAGAGTTACTAGGCAGAATAGATAATATTTACGTTTAATTCCCAGACTGGATTTTTTTTATTTATCTGAGCGAGGGTTCGAATCTGAACGGGAAATGCACACACATTTACATACATACTTGAACATCACACACACATATACATACATACATACATACATATATACATACATGCATGCCTATTTACATACGGAGATACCTATATATCTGTAATTATGTTTAACAATACATCTATATACCCAGACACACAAACACACACACATAATACTCTCACAATTTCATACCCACTCAGTATTCTTTAGCATTATTTTCGTAACATCAGAAATGACATTACTGGAATTCAAGTTAATGCTACTAAGGTTAAATGTCGAAAAGAACATCATCTTTAAGATTTTATTCTTACAGCAAGAGGACCGAAAAAGCATAAATCGTACATTGGTATACAAAGTCACCGGAATGAAATATATTGTTACATTTTGGGAACTATTTTTTTAAGAGAGAAAAGACATTTTTTTCACCAGTGGTGGTGGTGATGATAGCGGGGGTAGTGGTGGTAGTGTGGGTAGTGGTACCTGCGTCTAAAGAACCAGGGGTCAGCCGCGGGGTCAGGGTCAGCCACGGGGTCAGCCACGGGGAAGGGGTCAGGCATGGCACGAGCTGAACCCAGGAGGCCAGACAGGGCCACAACTAGAGCCATCAACATTGAAATCTGTAAAATTATACAATAGTGTTAATGATTTCAATATTCGTTACATTCCCATTCACTTTCATTGGAAATATGCATAGACATTCAGTAACTATGACGACTTCTAGATACACAAGAAGTATCCTGGACTCACCAGCTTCATCTTGGGGGTGAGAGAAAGAGTCTTTTCCGTGCCTCTGAGAAGGCCAATACGCCCTTCCTGCCTCTGGGTTCGCCTTATATACCCCCCAGGCGTGGACGGGGAAGAGGAGGAGGGGCGGGAGTTCCTTCGCGGGGAACTACCTCACCTTCTGCTATATATTCTTTGTTTTCCTCCTATTGTATATATTTTCATCATAGTTATCTGCATCTTTTTTTTTTTATTAGTGGGGAAAATTTTCCTACTGTAGGAGATGCAGTCTGTTCCCATATCTTTTCCTTTCTTTTTCTTGTCATACTTAGTCATTATTTCCCTTTTGTTATTACTGTTTTTATCACTAGTACTATTGCTGTCATATTCCCTATTATCATAGTTACTATTATCGTTATATTATCATTATTATTATCTATTACTAATTATTATCACTTTTATTACCATTTTTATTGTCATTATTATTATCATTATCATTATCATTATTACATTGTTATTGTCATTAAGAGAGTAAGTGAAAGAAGAAGGAGAACATGATAACGTCAATGATATCGATGATAGCAACGAACGAAAATATAAAAGTAGAAATGGAGAAGGTAACTGATAATGAATATATAAAAGAAAATTAAAAAGAAAAAAAAATCAATGAAATTCTGAGAAAGAACAGAAAAAAAATATATTATAAATTTGTATAAGTCATATGTCAAAGATTCTCTCCTCGTGGTTTCACGAAATTATTCATAAACTTAATTCAAGTTAATACAGAGCCACTTACAAGTTCGATCTCAGCCTAAAGGTCAAGTTTAGAATTCGGGGAAAATAATTTGTTGTTGTTGAACATTTGATGTTGCATATTGTTTGTTGTTGTATATTTGTTGTTGCATATTTTTGTTGTTCTATACTTGCATATTTTTTCTTGTTGCACATTTTTCTTGTTGTATATTTTGTTCTATATTTGTTGTTGCATATTTTTGTTATTATAAATTTGTTATTGCATATTTGATGTTCCTATATTATTGCTGTATATTTGTTACTGTTCCATATGTTATTGTTTAATTATCATTACATACTGTTGTTTTGTATATTTGTTGCTTTGTATAGTTGTTATGGGGCGCGGTGGCAGAGTGGTTAGAGCATCGGACTCAGAAAAGTCACGACAATCTGAGCTCGAGGGTTCCCTGAGGCAAGGAACTTCACCTCAATTGTCTGATGGTATGAATGGATGTATGAATGTGTATAGTGAAAGTCAATGGAGCGAATGAGGGATAGAGAGATGGTGAACTCTTCAATCACCCGAAGGAAGGCAACGGGAAACCACCTTCGTACACTCCCTTGTACAACCATGAAATTAAACATGGTCGCCAACGTCAGGCTCTGATACGGCACTAAAAAAATAATAATAATAATTAAAAAAAAAAAGTTATTGCATATTTTTGTGGTATATTTGCTGTTGCATATTGTTGCTGTATATTTGTTGCATTTTTTTGTTGTTGCACATATTTTTTTGTTACATATATTATTTGTTATCTTCTTTTGAATGTTTGAATATATATATATTTATATATATATGCACGTCCTTTGTTTTATTAAGGTATATTTATTGCTTTGAACGTGTAAGAGATTTGCTTTCTCTATTTCTTTATCTCTTTCGCTCTCTCCCTCTTTGTCTCTGTCCTCTCTCTCCCTTTTTCTCTCCCTCTTTCTCCTCTCGCTCTCTCTCTCTTTCTGTCTTTCTTTTCTCTCTCTCTCTCTCTCTCTCTCTCTCTTTCTCTCGCTCAGTGTAGTTTCATTACATTCGTCGTAATGTACTTAAAGCAAAGCATTTATTCGCTTCATACCAGTTTATTTATAGTCAAAAACAAAACTATCACCATTAGAATAACTAATAACAACTATCATTAATCAAAATTACGGGCATCATTAATGCTATAACTTGCTCTATCATTAACGCAAATTCTTACAACCATTTCCATTATCCAAATTTACACTCAACGACAGCGTGCCAATAATTTGTTCAGATCACGTAGCCATGACATGCGATGGGGGTGGGGTGGGGGGGGGATACACGAAGCAGGAGAGGTAGTTCCCCGCGACTAAGGAAAGAAGGAGGAATTCCCGACCCGCCCCCTCTTCCTCGCCCCGCCTCCTCTTCCCCGCCCACGTCTGGGGGTTATATAAGGCGGATCAGAAGTAGGAAGGACATCTTGTCCTTCTCAGAGGCACAAAAAAGACTCTCTCTCTCTCGCCCCCAAGATGAAGCTGGTGAGTCTAGGATACTTCTTGTGTATCTAGAAGTCGTTTTTTTTTTGTTTGGCTTCTGATGTCAAAGGATAATTATTGAATTTGTCAGCATATTTCTAACGAATTTCGAAGTCATTTAACACTGTTGTACAATTTTGCAGATTTCCATGGTGATGGCCCTAGTTGTGGCCCTGTCTGGCCTCCTGGGTTCAGCTCGTGCCATGCCTGACCCCTTCCCCGTTGCTGACCCCGTGGCTGACCCTGACCCCGCGGCTGACCCCTGGTTCTTTAGACGCAGGTACCATTACCCACGCTACCACCACTACCCCCGCTACCATCACTACCACCACTGGTGAAAACGGGGATTCCGAAAATGTAGCACAGTTTATTGGGTTCCGCTCAACTTACATATCCATATATGATTTATGTATTTCGACAATCTTGCCTTCAAAATAAAACACTGAAAGAGGTGTGTTTTTTAACATATGACCTTAATATCATTAAAGAAATAAGCTTGAATTCTACCAAAATGTTAATGTTGAACAATACTGTGTGAAGATGGCTGATATAAGTATACTCATGTGCAAATCAAGGAACTCATGAGGAATCTATTCATATACACATACATACATGTGTATGTGTGTGGGTAAATAAACAGACAGTTATATTAATTCACTGGCCGATAGTAATTGACGTATGCATTTATATATATGTATGTATGTGTAATTTTACAGACTGTACGTGCACTAATTATCAGAGATAAATGATGTAGCCTTTGTAATACTGAAAGAGCATTTGGATTCGAACAATCGCTCAGATAAAGTAAAAATTCTGGTCCGCAATCTGAGTGTAAATGTTCCTGATTTCGTGTAATAAGTATCATGATGCGTATTACTGCGTATATCTGAATATGTCAACGCTATTACTGAAATCATTACATAAACTTTTACGTAAACAAATTAAACTTTTACGCAAACAACTTTTCAAGATATACTTATAAATATTTCACAATAACCTCCCCCTCCTGCTCCTCTTCTTCTCTCCTCCTCTTCCTCCTTCTCTTCTACCCTCCCCATCCTCCTACTCCTCTTCCCATCTCCCATCTTCCCCCTCCCCCTTCTCCTCTACCTCCTCCTAACCCTCCTCTTTCCCCTTTTCTTCCTCCTAGCCCTCCTCCTTCCCTTCTTTCCTCTCAGCCTCCTCCTCCTCCTCCTCCTCATCCTTTTTCATTTTTTCCTCTCTACCTTCTCCACCTGCTTCGTCGTAAATTGTCATACTATCATCTACGTTTTTTTCACCATCACAACAACGCTTAGATATCGAACAATAGAAATTAATATCATCATTTAAGGCTCATGAAGAGGAAGTGAAAGGGTGTGAAAAGAGAGACAGACGATCACAGTAGATGATTGAAGTTACTAAATGATTGTAATGGTAGTAAGAATATTAAGGATTATAATAATAATGATACTAATACCAGTGACAGAAACATTGATGCTAATAACAGGATATTGATAACACTGATGGTAATGGTAATAATAAAAAGACATAATGTTATGACAAATAATAGGAAAATTCACACTTATTAATAACAATAATCATAACGAGGAAAACATTGCTAACAAAAGGATATGGATTATAACACTAACGGTAATGATAATAAAAATACGTTATGTTAAGATAAAAAGACAGAAAAAGAAACATGAAAGTACTACTCCTTTAATAGGAAAATTCACACTTTTATTAACAACAACAATCATAAAATTAATGAGGAAAACAGTCGTGTTAATGAGAACCATACTCGATTTGGTACAGATGGATAAGGAAAAGGGAACAACTACCGCAAACATCAATAATGTGAAGGCTTTATGGCTTTATAGCAAAGGTTTCACTGTATCTTGCTTGTTGTGCGTATATGTGCGTATGAGGTGTGCGTATAAGGTGTATGAGTGTGTCCTTTTGTTTCGCCTCCAACCCGGTCGGATGGCAGTTTTGACTCAAACAAAGCACCATGTCAACCATATTTGTGTTGTTCAATATTTGTTGTTGCATATTTTTATTATTGTATATTTGTTATTGTTGCATATTTTTGTTGAATATTTGTTTTTGCATAATGTTGCTGTATATTTGTTGTTTTGTATATCTGTTGTATTTTTTATTTGTTGTTACATATTGTTAATGTATATTTGTAGCATGTTATTGTTGTTTCGTTCTTGTTACATGTTATTTGTCATCTTTTGAACGTTTGAAAATATATGTCCTTTGTTTTATTGAAGTATATTTAAAGATATTACCTTTTTAAATACGATGCTCTGCTTTGAACGTATGTGATTTGTTATCTCTCTGTCCCTTTCTTTCTCTCTTTCTGTGTCTCTGTGTCTCTGTCCTCTTTCTTTCTTTTTCCTCTGTCTCTCTCTTTCTCTCTCTCTCTCTCTTTACTTTTTGCTCGGTGCAGTTTCATTACATTCGTCGTATTGTACTTAAAGCTAGCATTTATTCTTTTCATACCAGTTTATTTACAATCAAAAACAAAACTATCACCATCAGAACAACTCATAACTATTAAAGCATTAATCAAAATTACCGGCATCATTACTGCTATAACTTGCTATATTATTAACGTAAATTCTTACTATTACTACTACCATTTCCATCATCCAAATTTCCACTCAAGAGTTCAGATCATGTAACACTCGAGGGGGGAGGGGGGTACACGGAGCAGGAGAGGTAGTTCCCCGCGACTACGGAAGGAAGGAGGAATTCCCGACCGCCCCGCCCCCCTCTTCCCCGCCCACGTCTGGGGGTATATAAGGCAGATCAGAAGTAGGAAGGGCCATCTTGTCCTTCTCAGAGGCACAAAAAAGACTCTTCTCTCACCCCCAAGATGAAGCTGGTGAGTCCTAGGATACTTCTTGTGTATCTAGAAGTCGTCTTTTTTTTTGGCTTCTGATGTCAAAGGATAATTATTGAATTTGTCTGCATATTTCTAACGAATTTCGAAGTCATTTAACACCACTTGTACACTTTTGCAGATTTCCATGTTGATGGCCCTAGTTGTGGCCCTCTCTGGCCTCCTGGGTTCAGCTCGTGCCATGCCTGACCCCTTCCCCGTTGCTGACCCCGTGGCTGACCCTGACCCCGCGGCTGACCCCTGGTTCTTTAGACGCAGGTACCACTACCCACACTACCACCACTACCCCCGCTACCATCACTACCACCACTGGTGAAAACGGGGATTCCGAAAATGTAGCACAGTTTATTGGGTTCCGCTCAACTTACATATCCATATATGATTTATGTATTTCGACAATCTTGCCTTCAAAATAAAACACTGAAAGAGGTGTGCTTTTTAACATATGACCTTAATATCATTAAAGAAATAAGCTTGAATTCTACCAAAATGTTAATGTTGAGCAATACTGTGTGAAGATGGCTGATATAAGTATACTCATGTGCAAATCAAGGAACTCATGAGGAATCTATTCATATACACATACATACATGTGTATGTGTGTGGGTAAATAAACGGACAGTTATATTGATTCACTGACTGATAGTAATTGACGTATGCCTTTATATATGTGTATGTATGTGTAATTTTACAGACTGTACATGTACTAATTGCCAGAGATAAATGATGTAGCCTTTGTAATACTGAAAGAGCATTTGGATTCGAACAATCGCTCAGATAAAGTAAAAATTCTGGTCCGCAATCTGAGTGTAAATGTTCCTGATTTCGTGTAATAAGTATCATGATGCGTATTACTGCGTATATCTGAATATGTCAACGCTATTACTGAAATCATTACATAAACTTTTACGTAAACAAATTAAACTTTTACGCAAACAACTTTTCAAGATATACTTATAAATATTTCACAATAACGTCCCCCTCCTGCTCCTCTTCTTCTCTCCTCCTCTTCCTCCTTCTCTTCTACCCTCCCCATCCTCCTACTCCTCTTCCCATCTCCCATCTTCCCCCTCCCCCTTCTCCTCTACCTCCTCCTAACCCTCCTCTTTCCCCTTTTCTTCCTCCTAGCCCTCCTCCTTCCCTTCTTTCCTCTCAGCCTCCTCCTCCTCATCCTCATCCTTTTTCATTTTTTCCTCTCTACCTTCTCCACCTGCTTCGTCGTAAATTGTCATACTATCATCTACGTTTTTTCCACCATCGTAGCAACGCTTAGATATCGAACAATAGAAACTAATATCATCACTTAAGGCTGACGAAAAGAAGGAAGAGAAAGGGCGTGGAAAGAGAGGCAGATCGTCACAGTAGATGATTGAAGTTACTAAATGATAGTAATGGTAGTAAGAATATTGAGGATTATAATGATAATGATACTAATACCAGTAATAGAAACATTGATGCTAATAACAGTGATAACAAAAGATTATTGATTATAACACTAACGGTAATGGTAATAATAAAAAGACATTATGTTATGACAAATTAAAAAAAATATGAAAGTACTACTCGCTTAATGGGAAAATTTACACTTATTAACAACAATAATCATAACGAGGAAAACATTGATAACGAAAGGATATGGATTATAACACTAACGGTTATGATAATAATAAAAATACATTATGTTATGACAAAAAGCATGAAAGTACTACTCCCTTAATAGGAAAATTCCCACTCTTATTAACAACAAATAAATGAGGGAAACAGTCGTGTTAAAGATAAGGACACTCGATTTGGTACAGATGGATAAGGAAAAGGGAACAACTACCGCAAACATCAATAATGTGAAGGCTTTATGGTTTTATAGCAAAGGTTTCACTGTATCTTGCTTGCTGTGCGTATATGTGCGTATGTAGTGTGCGTATAAGGTGTACGAGTGTGTCGTTTTGATTCGCCTCCAACCCGTTCGGATGGCAGGCTCGACTCAAACAAAGCACCATGTCAACCATCGTCGCTGGTTGCCATTCTATGGTTTGCCATTCCACTCCGTGCTCCAAACCTCAACACTTTGAGAGCACGTCGGTCTTTCATCTTATTTATTTACAGTAATTGGCGATAAATAAGATAAATAAGATGAAAGTTAAAATTAAAAGTTAATTGCGAAGTGATGAGAGAAGTAACGTAAGGAAAATAACTGCAAAGTTACACTGTTTAACTTGTGGAATATTCTTCTGCTACATATTTTTAACATTGTTATCCTATGATATATGTTTACCTTAGTTATCTGCATCTTTTCCCTTTTTTTTTTTTTTTAATTAGTGGTGGAAATTTTCCTAATGTAAGAGATGCAGTTTGTTCCCATATCTGTTCCTTTCTTTTTTCTTGTCAAACCTAGTCACAATTCTTTTTTTTTTTTTTTTTTTTTTTTTTTTTTTTTTTTTTTTTTTTTTTTACTATTTTTGCCACTGGTATTCCCTGTTTTTATTGTTATCACATTCCCTGTTATTATTGTTCCTATTGTTATTATGGCTATTACTTTCATTTTGCATTATATTTTTTATT